TCATCTCCATATGATGCATTTAAATTAGTGTTAATACGCGCAGCGCTGCTGTGTTTACCGCGGTAACCAAGGAAACGCTGTATCACTGTTCCGTAAGCGCCGCCTGCTGGCAGAGAGTGAATCTGTGTCTCATTCAGCCTGTCTGCTGTTTCTGTTTCATACAGATGTTTTATGTAGCATCATTTCATTTCTATTTTTGTGCTATAGGCCTATATTTAATTGTGCTATTACTTGTAATTTGTTCATTTGTTCTTATTTACTGGCTGTCACTTCTCTTTAATAATGTTTAAACTTGATATTTATGTTTATTTTTGGCAAGTGATTTTTGCTGTGGTATCGAAATTAAAATAGAGAATTGTAAAATTTAATTCGTATCTAAAATATTGGTGTCATATAAGTTTATTTATTAGAATACAAGATAACAGATAAAAAACAATGATAACAGCAACTATTTTATTTTTTTGTGGCAGGGCCAGTGAAAATGTTGGCAGGGCAAGTAAAAATTTTAACCACTGGCCCAACCGGGCCACAGTAGAAAAAATCCTTAGCGTTGATCCCTGGATAGAGGACTCGTATTTTAGCCGAAAGCAAAGGTTTGACGTTAAAACGTCTTAATGATGGATTTGTTTCTTACAAACACGCAGCTTTTTGCTTCACAATGCATTAACTGATGGACTGGAGTGGTGTGGATTACTTGTGGATTATTGTGATGTTTTTATCAGCTGTTTGGACTCTCATTCTGACGGCACCCATTCACTGCAGAGGATACATTGCTGAGCAAGTGATGCAATGCTACATTTCTCAAAATTTAATGAAGAAACAAACTCATCTACATCTTGGATGGCCTGATGGTGAGTAAATTGTCAGCAAATCTCCATTTTGGGGTGAACTATTCCTTTAAATTAACGTTATAATCATTTTACGGCCGTGAGCCACATGAAAATGATTCTGGATGCATGTGAGTTTTTTCCACATCTGACCCACTAAATTATTAACCAAGGTTGCCAATGAGGGCTGACATGATCCCATGTATATCCCATCAAAAGTGACATTTAGAGATGGGAACCATATTTAAAGATTTGCTTATGACTCTAATTATTTCACATTCACTATGCATTTAATTTGAACAAATTGAAACCACAGTTTTATGTCGCTCAGCTCGTGTTTTAAAGCAGGACGGACTAGTGACCAATTATACTTCACATTTAGTGATGCATTTAGTCACTCATGGTAAGCTCGCTGATGATCTGAGGAGAACTGTGACGCAAGCGTTCAGAGGAGCCTGTCAGATTCGCTGAGCTTTCTTTCACCGTCCATGCAGAATCACCGCTCACTTCCGCTAGTACACACTGAGAAAGAACACACACTCTCACACAGAGAACTAGTGCTGATGTTAACAATGAGAAAGACTGAGCTGAACTGTGTTAACACCAACTGCTTGAGTGTGTCGTGGTCAGACACTTAAATGGTAGATTATGGTTACATTCAGAATGTAATGCTAGTGTATTGGTAGTAAATACTGTGAAGTACGAAATACCGCTGAATGTTTTTTTTAGTATGTAAAAATAGTATGTGAAACAGATCCCTTCCTAACTATCTGAATGTAGATCTGTACAGCTATTATATGATGCAGTGTTTGGTTATGATTTTTTTAAAGGAGTTGCTCAACATAAACAGATTTATATTAAAATAAAATGTAAAATATAAAACATTAAAATGTTCTTTTTATTGCTGTAATTACTCAAATGTATTGTTCAAGCAGACACGAAACACTGTACGTTTCACTGGTAGCATGAATTAATAATAATAATATTAATAATAATAGATTTTTTTATTAGCATATTGTATGAACTTCCAAAATTCTGGTATCGTGACAACAATTGAAAACCACTTAAGGTGCAAACAGTGATAATGCATGCTGTGAAAGTACAGTATTACCCTAAGCCAATATGAGCTCTGACAACAATAATAACATGATGACATGAGAAGAAACGCCCACCATCATGACACACACACACACGCGCACACACACGTCTGGTTTGCTATCCTTGTGGGGGCTCTCCATAGGTGTAATGTTTTACTGTACAGACCATATTCTATCATCCTACACCTAAACTTACCCCTTACAGGAAACTTTATGCATTTTTAGATTTTCTAATAAATTCATTCTGTATGATTTATAACCTTGTTTACCCATGGGAACCTCAATTTAGGTCCCCACCATGACACAAGTTTAAGTCCCAGAGCTTCTTCCCAGCAGTATCAGAGTAAAGATCTGAAAATATTCAATATCGCTGCATGCATTAGACTGACACTGTAACCAAACAGTTAAGCAGCATGCAGTTACAGATACTGGTAGCTAGATGGCTGTCTTGATCCAGCAAACCAACACACACACACACACGCACGCACGCACACACACACACACGCACGCAAATACACACACACACACACACACACAGTGTCTAAACTTATACACGCTCCGTCTCATGAGCCACTAACATTCAGGCGTTCACGCGCAAGTACAGAAGTGCATATGACACCTGTCAAGCACTCGTGACACATGATGATATGAATGCATGCGTGTTTACGGCGCGTTATTTATGCAGCAGCGCAGATGCACGGAGGACACGCGCGTTATAAACCCTGACATAGTCGAGTGTCGCACTGCAGTCGCACGAGTGTCTGAGGGCGGTAGTGTGACTTACGGTGTGTGCTGTGGCTCCTGTGTGCAGTGTAAGCGCGCGGCGGTACAGCGTCGCCATTGCTCTTCCTTCTTCCTTCACAGACAGCGAGACGAGCGAGCGAGAGAAACATATGACGCCACCTTCGCCAGAGTTCGGCTGCGTTCGGCTGCGTTCGGCTTCAAGAGACGGAAAGGTGAAAGGTTGAACGTGTGCATCGTGCATTTATATAGGACATAATAATTCTTATGTTATAATCGTGCATACGCCATTTTATTATTATTAGTAGTACTAGTAGCAGTAGTAGAAGTATTGATAGTTTACATTCTTTGCTACATTATAATTACATATACATTAATAATTACTTATTGTTTACATAACATATAAATATGAATGAATACATTGATTAAATAAATAATTAATTAATAAATATGAATGTAATGATAGCAATAATAACAATAATTTAATAATATTAGTAGTAGTATTACTAGTTACTATTATATATTACTATTATAAGTATATAATTAATGACATTTTATTGTTTACACAATATGTAATAAATATGAATTAATGCTTTAGATAAAGGAATAAAATAAAAGGAATATTAATGTAAAAAATTATTATTATTATTATTATTGATAGTTGTAATAATTGTTGATTATAAATTAATCTAATTTTATTGTTTACATATAAATAAATATTAATGAATACATTAATGCATTCATTAAATGAATAATTAATTAATAAGTATGAATGTAATTAATAGCAACAGTAAATAACAATGACGATAATAATTATTATTAGTAGTAGTAGTATTAACATTAATATTACCTTTTTATTTTTATTAATTTAATTATATTATTTAATATTTGTTATAAATTATGTAAATAATAAAATGTAATTCATTTATAATCAAGTTATTACAATTATTAATAATTATTATTATTATCTTCAACAACTAGTAATAATAGTTTTACTTACAACTACTACTAATAATTCAAATGTAATGAAAATAATAATTACTTTTATTATTGGTTCTATAATTACTAAATTGTTGTTTAAACATGATATTGTTTACATAAAATATAATTAACGCTTTCCTAAAAAGTCTTATATTTTATTAATGTAATTTATAAAATATTACTACTATTTATTGTTGTTGATTATGGCAATAATAGTAGGCCAAAATCCCTTTTTTAATACAGTTATAGATGTTGTTTTAATTGTCATTCTCACACAATGTGGGCTTTAGTCTTGTTATCATTCAAGCGCAGATTTTTGTGATCCTGTAGGTAAATAACTTGGGACAAATGGCGATAATTTAATTTCACAGGTTTCGTTACACAAGCAGCTGTCACGAGAAAGTCATCGTCTCATCATCGCAATAAATACATACACACTACTTTTGAATAATGATTGTGTTCATTTGTTTAAGAGTTCTTAAAGTGTTAAAAAAGATGAACAGCCAGGAAAATCAGACAAACAAAAAAACTATAATAATAAATATCAAATGCACTATTTAGTTACTTTTATTATTTAATATACTACAGGCTGAACCACGGCACAAAAAATAATTTGAGATACGAGTATGGGAAATAAACAGGCCAGACTCGGACAGTCATGGGTCAGATCACCTGTAGGACATGAAAAACTCTTTTGATGCGTTCAGCCTACTGCCGTGAACTACCATGTTGAGGCTTTCGCTCCAGATAATGTTTTGTTTGTTCTTTTGACAAATGCTGATCAGTGAAGTCACAGGATGAGCCGGCAAACAAAAGCGCCATTATACCAGAAGGAAGCCAGGATTTATTTGGGTAAGAAATCACACTTTCTCCCCAGAGGCACAAAGTCCTGCATGTATACAAACACTACCAAGTGCACTTCACAGTCAGTTTTATTCATCAAAAAAATGACATTTCAGTACAATGCTTCACTACAGAGACAGAAACACAACAAGAACAGAAAGAAAACCTTCCTAAACAAAACTCCAGCACCATTAGAAATGTGATGCTGATGCTTAAAAATGCATAGATACCAATTTAAACGCAACACTTGAACATAAACGAATGAAAAAGTAATCTGGTTGGAAACAAGAAGCAGCTATGCAAAAATACACAGAAATGTTGCTCTGCAAGACTGGAATGTATCGAGGTTGATGAAACAAACAAGATTTTTATACTTGATTTGACAAAAATAGATCATATAAGTAAAATGCATTGTAATAGTACATTCAAAACATGTTTTAGTTCCATTAAAAGTTTATAAAAAGCATGCTGACTAAATATAACCAAGGTAAAAAAAGATATTTTCTTTAAGTACACAAGAAATTAAAGGTGTAAAACAGAAAAGGAGAAGAGAGAAACATCACAAATGAGAGTCATATGATTATTGGTCTTACAGACAAACTGCATAAAGCATCACCTGTTACTGTGTATTTTTCATGAAGGCTAAGGTGTTACGCTGTGGGCTAATTGTTTAGATGGGTGCTGGATTTGGACCCCGTCCCGCCGCTTGCTGAGCATTGACCTTCTGAGAGTGCCAGCGCGTCTCCTTATACACAAACCAGGTGTTTCCAACCCATATGATGAGATTCAAGAAACCAAATATCTGAAAATGAGATTTGGAGTCGGTTATTCATAATATACACTAACGGTCACAAGTTGGGAATAATTGGAAAGTCTCTTCAGCTCACCAAGGCTGCATTTATTTGATGAAAAAAAGTCTAATATTTTTCCAATTTAAAGTCTCTGGTACCCCAGAATGTGTCTGTGAAGTTTCAGCTCAAAATACTCCACAGATCATTTATTACATCATTTTGAAAATGCCTATTTTTTTTCCCATAAAAATATGAAGCAGCACAACTCTTTTCAACATTGATTATATTCAGAAATGCTTCTTGAGCAGCAAAATCAGCATATTAGAATGATCTCTGAAGGATCATGTGACACTGAAGACTGGAGTAATGATGCTGAAAATACAGCTTTGATCACAGGAATAAATTACATTTTAAAGCATATTCAAATTGAAAACAGGTACTTTAAATTGTAATAATATTTCATACTTTTACTGTATTTTTATCAAATAAATGCAGCCTTGTTGAGCAGGAGAGACTTTTTAAAAAACATTAAAAAATCGTAATTATTCCAAACCTTTGGCCGCCAGTGTACATACTTAAAAAGCAAATGCCAGTGAATAAAGTCCCGTGCTACATATGCCAATTTTAATTAGACATGCCACAATAAGGAAGTCAAATGCATTGCAAATGCAGTTTAATAAGATTGCATCTCAATGTTAGGGGTAAGTACCCTTTTTGTGGTTTAAAAAAAAAATGGTAATCAGCATAATAAATAGTGAAAGAGTACAGCTGATTGGTTAGTGTAATTTCTTACCACAGATATATTGAGCGAGCGCAGGCTGGCGTACTCAGTGACTTCACATTTGACATCTTTGTCCGTACAGAGCGCCAGAGTGGATTCAATGCCAGCCGTACCGGTGGCTTCCTTCATCGTCTGCAGACCTCGAGCCCAGGCAGACGAGCACACCAGCCACAGGAACGCAAAGACTGCTGTCAGCGCAAAATCCTAGCAGATAGAGGCAGAAAATTATAAACATACACAGAATTTTCCCTTTAAAAGCATCTGCGTTGCATAATGCATATTGCATTTGTACATCTTGCTACTTCAAGCTCATCTGCCAGTTGCATACTCACAAACATAGGGCCGAAGTCAGAGTCTCGGTACACATGCATGTAGCCCAGATAGACCAGCAGAGCCACCATTGAATAGAGGAAAGCCAAGACGGCCACAGCAACAAAAAACTCCACAGAGGACGATGAGTCTCCTACAAGATGGGTTGCAGAAACTGTGCGGTTGCAAAGAGTGGTGTTGTTCTCCACCAGCAGCTCCTGGTTTAACCTGCAAATGAATGTATAAAAACACAGAGAGAAATGTAGAATTCCATCTCTTGCTCAGCAATGGATCCTCTGCAGTGAATGGGTGCCGTCAGAATGAGAGTCCAAACAGCTGATAAAAACATCACAATAATCCACAAGCAATCCACACCACTCCAGTCCATCACTTAATGCATTGTGAAGCCAAAAGCTGCATGTTTGTAAGAAACAAATCTACTATTAAGAGATTTTTAATCACAAACTGTTGCTTCCAGCTAAAATACAAGTCCATAATCTATAATATTGCTTCCTCCAGTGGAAAAGATTCGTCTAGTCTAAATCAGAAGAGAAGTCTGCACAGATCAAGCACCGTTTACAAGCCAAAACAGATCTAAACAAATATGTGGCTGGATTTTGATGTGAGAGACAACAGAAGATGGATTTTTTTCACTGGAAAAAGCATTATTATGGACTCGTATTTTGGCCAGAAGTGACGGTTTGAAGTTAAAACATCTTAATGATGGATTTGTTTCTTACAAACACATAGATTTTCACTTCCCAAGACACTAATTGATGGACTGGAGTGGTGTGGATTACTTGTGGATTATTGTGATGTTTTTATCAGCTGTTTGGACTCTCATTCTGACGGCACCCATTCACTGCAGGGCATCCATTGGTGAATGGCCTGAGCATGAGTACATTATTCATTCCTGGGTGAACTACTCTAATATTTTGAATTCGATCCTATTTTTTCATTTTCAGTATTAATTTAATTAAGTTTTTTGTAATTGTTATATGTTTTTCATATCTAATTTTCATTTAGTTTAAACTTTTCATCTTATGTTTATGTTATTTTATTTCAGCTTTATTTTAAAATGTTTTTAATAGTTTTAGTTAATAAAAAGAACCCTGGAAAGAGTTTATATTACACTGTGAACAAAAAGATTATTGGAGTATGTTACCTAGTCTTTCTACTTCACAATTTCACATTTCATTCAATGTGTTACTTGCCTATTGTTTGTGAAATTTACTAGCAATCTCTGAGTGTAATTGGGCCAAACCTGAATGGGTAGGTGAAAGTGGCACTGAGGGTTTCATTGCTGCCTCCGCCACAGAAGATGGAAACCACATTTTTGCCAGTATATCCTCCACAGGTCCCGAATGCAAGCACGGCCATGAGCTGGAGAAAACCAGAGCATTATGCATGAAACGCTGCATGCAAACAATAGAAGCATGCAGTCACGTCTTCAGTTTCCTACATGCACAAACCTGAAGATGCACTGCAGAGGTTACCATGAAATAAGCTTTCTTCACCACCCGTGTTCATGAATCATCTGACATACTAATCTGATCTTGTGCTCAGTTTTAACCTTGATTCCCTCAGTTTGTGTTTAACCCTTGGAAGTTAAATGAAGACCTGCTGTTCATGGCCAACTCCAGGCTCATTTTCCAACACCAGATGTTTAGTTTCGCTGCATGATACATCCTGTTTGCCAGCTCATTCTCAAGAAGCAATTTAAACAAAACGGAGAAACTTCTCATCTGTCCCACTTTCAGATTTATGCTTTATAGACAGCAACAGCTGAGTCAGTAACTCCATTTTCCCTGCCAATAACAAATTCCTTTGAGGAAATAAAGAAGGGAGGAACTTCATGTAAGTAGGTGGCTAAAGAAAACTTAAAACAGTTGCTGGTGAAGGGAATGTGCAAAAAAAATATATGCAAAAGTCTGAGAGAGGACAAGTGAAAATGCTTCTTTTGCATATATGTATATATATATATTTCATAATTTCTTAGTATGCACTCAAGCATGCATGAACAAAACATGATGAAACTTTACAGGTTTGAAAGAAAAAAAGTGAAAATTAAACATTTGATAAAATAACTATATATAATAAATGAGAATTACTCAGATACTCTGTGTTAGTGGTTGGGACTAAACGTTTAATCTAGAAAGACTTTTAACTATACTTTGCATGGAATAATGCATTGTTGTAAGTGCGTTTTTAGCCAGGCCTTTGCCCTTCTTATGAAGTTCAAGTTTGAAAACGAGCTCAACAGATTTGGAGTTTCTTACTTACCCACTCCACGAGTTTAACAAAACCCAGAGGCTCTTTAACAGGGGTCAAATTGAATCTAAATCCCGTCTGCATCTCTCTGCGCCGACCCAGATATCCTCCAGGAAGAGAAAAGGAAGGGGCTTGAATCTCGCTGGCTCAAGTTTTCATAAAAATCTGCAAGTTTGACAGAGTGACGTGGTTCTGTGGCGAAAGATGCTGCTCCTCCCCCGCGAGGAAACCAGAGTAAATCCAGATGAGGATAGAAAGAGTTTCTGATTTGCACGGTAGATTGATTCAGATTCTATCCGACAACACGGGGTATTTCGTAGTAGATGTGGTTTATCTGCATCTGGCGCGTGTATTGAGGATACGTCGTCACAAGGCGATAGTTTCGATGGGTTCTGCTCTAATAAGTGAATGAAGCGCGTTCAGGTGTCCAGCGAACAATATTTCAGTCATATGATTGTGAGACGCTGGAGATGGATTCTCTACATTCCTGTGCTCCGTTATAAACTCAAGTCTCTTAAAGGAACAGTTCACCCAAAAATTAAAGTTGTCATTTAATTTGAATGACAAGGTGCGAATTATGGTGGTCAAAAATATGTATTCATTTTATAATTAAGTGCACATACACATATATAGTAACCACACAAGTTGTATTACAAAGTGCCGTAAAGTTGGGAAAGGAAGTTACGTTACTATAGCAACAGTTCGCGAATTCAGTTCTGTATCGTGAAATATGGCTTGTCTAAAAAAAGTATTCTTTTTTATTATTAGTTCGGTATCGTGAAATATGGCTGTCTAAAAAAAGTATTCTTTTTTATTATTATTTAAGTGTGTGTGTGTATATATACACATGTATATATGTACATATATACATTTTTTAAGCAGCATTTTCAATAATTTCAGTACCAACTGAAGTTATATTACAAAAAGTGCTAAAAGTTCGTTACTATAGCAAAAGTTCACTTCTGAAGCAATCTCAGTATCGTGATCGAACCCTACATAAGGAAATATTATGGTCAAAAAATAAGTATTCATTTACATTGAAGTTTGTGTGTGTGTATATATATATACACATACACACACATTTTAGCGGCAATTTTAATCATTTCAGTGACCACAAAAGTTAGATATAAGTGTGAAAAGTTCGTGAAATAAAGTTACGTTATTTTAGCAACAGTTCGCTGTTGTATAAATACTGTACTGTATACATATTTTTGACCACTTATATTTATTGTATATAGTTATTATATATTTAGTATTCATAACACTTTAATATTTCTTTTAAAATATTTAAATATTTACAGAATTTATAATATAGATTATTTCCATGTAAATAACAAAAGGACGCTGGTGTTTTAAAACATTTAGCTAACTGTTCTGGGGCAGAAAAATATAATTCGGGTATCTACACAGACAAACCGCAACTAAACAAAATCTATCAGTTCGTAATGCTTGTAGTTGAAAACAGCACAGTTTACTGTATGTACATTGTGCGATGATGGGTTGCTACCAAACAGACCAGTAAAAGCTTATTTTCTAAAACAAATGACCATGTGTTGACCACTGCATCCAGAGAAATAAAACCCAAACCCGAATCGGTATGATATTGCTTTTTATTTAAACTTTCACACTAATTTTCCTTAACACAGTTTTAAACTCGTCATCAAAATGAAGTGATTTCATTACTAGTTTAGAAGGCTAGTGCATTGAGAAACAGTTTACTGTCCTTATAGCAGCTATAAAAGGGAATGGTTTCATCTTATTCACTATTCCATAAAAAAGAAAAGGGAATAATAATAACATTTCAGCAAAAAGGATGGACTGTTGTCGTTGTTTTAATATGCTGTCAAACGGCATCGGTCAAGTTAGTTTTAAAATATCCCAAGAAGTTGAAAGAAAAAGGGAGACCCAACATATACATAAAAACATCAATGAAATTATAATTATAAGTATGGTCAATCAAACATGTACACACACACACTCGCACCACACACACATATGCATATCAACAGACATGCCAGAGACTGACTGAGCGACATAAGTCTTCCACAGAACGTAACAGATACGTGATTTTCTGTTGGTACAAAATGGGCATTAGACAAAAATAAGAACAGATCTCTATTTGCACAAATAAGAAGCCAGCTCTCTCAAACCAAACACACACGCCGATATATACAAGAGAGGAGGCAGTTTGGCCACATTATTCTGACTGTGGATATTTACTATGGTAACTCTGGCGGTAGTTACGTCTGTCATAAAAAATAATGATTCTGGAGTTTGAAACAGTAAGTATAGAAAACAGTAAAACCAAGCTCTTCTAAAATGATTCCCGCTGTATAATAAAACTGGTGTTTTCAAATAAAGAGCTGCAGTGAGTAATGTTTAAAAAAAAAAATTTTTTTGTTGACTTAAATATGTCAGGTTTACATTAGATATCATGATGTAGCATTTAACATGTTGGCAAAATCAGGATAATGTTCTCCGCAGAAAGGAAAGCGTCTATTATATTTGGATGAATCCTGTCAAGAACACGTCCACATCATATTTCACCCCAAAAATCAAATGAAAAAAATACAAAATTATATTTTGCATAAAGAAAATAAATCCTACTTTTAGGACCATTAAGATTGTTTACATTGTGACACTATTTTTCATTAAATAAAATAAAGCCTGATAATTCCCATTACTACTATAATGCAACGGCATGACTTTATCACCACTGTTAAAAAAATAAAAATTATATATATATATATATATATATACAGTCTTTACACAGCATGTGTGCTGCCTTTAATTTATGCTTAATTTTTGCCCATTTTTAAATTTTCAAAATTACTGTATTTAACATTTTCAGAGAATGATTAATGAGAATCACCATTGAGAATGTCAAGAATTACAGTAAAAATAAAGGTAAAACATCTGGACACAATATAGTAATGGGAATTGGTGGTAAACTATGCTTAAATATCATGGAAATAATGTAAAAATGCTAATTTCTTTCATTTTTTCCTCTTGATTTTAGAGTGAAATGCGACCTAAACATGCTCTTTTAGGTTTCATCTTTCAAATAAATCCAGAAATAACAGAAAATAAACACAAGGCCAACGAAAGTATCCCTCTAGTTCAGCCGTCTCCTTTGCATAAAGGAATAGATCAATCCTTTGATAAAGTGATAAGCCCTACACACAACATTCACATTCAACAAACACAGAACGATTACCTTTCAGTCCTACAGTCAGGCAATGCGAAATCTTCTCGCGGTATACGCACACATAAACGTCTCCATTCCTGCAAAGACGTGTGATCAATAGCACACTTGGTCAAATACACAGTTAAATTATTTAAATAGCATGATAACTGCACTCATCCGCCGTTAGAAAGAGACACTGAAGCGTAACGGAGTCAGTAGACAGAAACATAGAACAGCTCTGTACACTGAACGTTTGGGTAACTGTGTGTCCTCACGTCTGTCGGGACGCAGGTTCTCTCGGGTGGGTGTGGGCAGAGAGAGGGCTGATGGGAAACACTCTCAGAGCAGCAGATCCTCCAATTCGCTCTCCTTCAGCTTGGCATTGTCTCTGACCTCATCGAAGGTGTACGTCTTTACAATCTTCCCGTTCCTGAACACAGTGTGCAGCAAGTCCTGCGAGGGGACAAGAGGAAACGGTCGAAATGAACTTGCAAGATGACCATATGCAATTATCAGGATTTTAAAATAAAATGTAAGACTTTAAGACCTGCACAAACTAAATTAATACCATATGTCTCACAATCTCAAAAAACATTTTTTAATTCATTAATCAAGTATGCATTCGATTGCAAAACAGGGTAAAAGCAAGTTTAAAATACTCAAGACATGCTTTATTAAATATATGCATGTGTATTGAAACTAATATATACATATGTAAGAATTATAGGTCGACCGATATTGGATTTTGCAGAAATTATGTGTTTAATGAAAGGCAATAAACAGCATCTAAATATCGAATGTGTTAAATAATGTTATTTCAGAGAAGCAAAAAGAATTTATGTCAAATTAAATGTCAGATAGTTTATTATATATTTTATACTTTATTATACTTAAAATTATACAAGACCAAACTACTCTGGGACTCTTATTTTGAAATGTCAGCGTTTTACTACTTCCAGCTGCTAGTTCAAATGAGGGAGATAAAATATGCACCCATCTATAACATATAACACCATAAAGCAAACATTTTAATAATTTATCAACAGTAAATAATAAGCAATCGTTTGGCATAAATGCATAAAATTCCTTGATTGGGAACTGCTCTGAAACGGCAGAATATTTAATGAAATCCTAGCCTTTTGAAGATTATTAATCACATTAGGCCATATCACAATTCCTGTTTTTCTTTCTCCAAATTTAAGACCTCTTAAAATGATAGTTAAGACCTTTGTTATACCATTTAAAATATTTAAAACTTTCATGATCAAACTCGATTAGGACTTGGGAGTGAATAAATATTCATTCTTCTCATCATTCATGAATTAATTTTATTGATTCTTTTTTAGTCATGTACCTCTCCGTATTCCTCCAGATCACCCTTCCCCTCTTCCAGAGTAACGAATTCTCCACTTGGCGTCCTGTGAAGAGAAAGCCGACCCTTCTTTGACCTTTTGTTGGGGTCTGCAACAGGGTCTTTGAAGACGTTTACCTGAAATTAACATCATATTAATGAAAAATGTATTTTCTCAATATTGCTGTATGTACATATATATATATATATATATACATACACATGTATATGGTATTTATACATCATGTGTGCTGTACTGCCTTTAATTTATGCTATATTCAAAAATACAGCATTACAGTATCAACATTTTACATTTTCAGTGTTAAAAATCACCATTGAGAATTACAAGAATTATAGTAAAAAATAAAAGTGCAACATCTGGACACAGCATGGTAATGAGAATTTGTGTTAGAATGTGTCTAAATATCATAAAAATAATCATAATTGTTCTAAAAATAGCTTCATTTTCTTTATGCAAATGGAACTGCTAAATCTGCCATTAGTCGACACTTACGCCCAGTCCGTTCGTCACCACATAACTGCACTTAAAACAGCAGTTGAGCAGATCTCGGGTCAGTTTCTGCAGCAAAGCTCCTCCTGAGCCAAACGCGATGTTCTCGATGCTCCATCTGTGCTCTTTCATGCCCTCCACAATCTATATAATACAATAAAACCGGTACAGGATGAGTTTAAACTCACCAAGAGCTCATATACCATACAGTCATGGTTCTGTTGTGAGCTGGACAACATACACACCTGCTGTAAAGTATTGATGTCCACACCGTCACCCTGAATGACTCTGATGTAGGGTGGAAGAACCTTATAGCCTTTAGAGTTCTCAACTGGATGAAATTTCTTTCCTAAAATTTCTAGAACCTGGAAAATAAGAATTACTAGATTTAATAGACATGCTATGTATCACACTATGCATATACTTTGAAACAAATTAAAAATTTGAGATGAGTTGCTTAAAAAAACAAAAACAACCATATCATGAAATATAAAATTAAAGCATAATTAATCAATAGGCAGCCACAGTTAATATGATTTTTGATGCAACAATGCCCATACCTTTAGCACCGTGTCTAGAGGGTTTCCTGAATCCGGTCGGACCAACAGTGGGGCGTCTGCGCTCCTCATCTCGATCAGACCTCTCAGGTCCTCACCCCAGATCTTCTCACAGGCGTTGTAGATGTCGTAGCTGTCGCTGACGATAGACACGGGGACAGACGGGAACTGCTTGATAATATGTTCAAAAGCATCCTTCTCATGGTCCTTTCCCCACGCAGTGATTGTGCTGCAACACAAAGACACAGTCAGTGAGATCAGGCAACATCAAGACAGAAAAGCTCAATTATTTAAGAAAAAACTCAATTATTATTATTATTTCACTGTTCTATTATCTTTATTACTACCACTATTAGCTTAATATTATGCAATTTTTCCAGCAATTAACTTGTTATAATTACATATATTACATATAAAATAACTTTAATTATTAACATTTAACAACATAACTTTAACATGTAATAAAAACTATTATAAATTATTAATTATTATTACTAACATGCAATTTGTCCCAGCAATTCACTTATCTGTTAGCACTACAGACTAAAAAAATACAATTGTATAAAACTATAACTATATATATATATATATTACTATTATTAAATATTCTTAATATTATGCAATGGTATAAATGGTATAATATATACATAAAATTTATATTATAAAATTGCACAAACTTCAATGGTTTCAAGTTATGATATCTACCACTAGGTGGCAGCATTGCACAAAACATACTGCATGTCAAAACGACTAAATTTCAAAAGCACTACTGAAACTGTTGCAAAATTCCTGTTTCCGTTTACTACATTAAAACTTGCACTACAAGTGTGAAGAAACACTGGTCTTTGGTAATTATGTAACGGTGCTTCCAGCTCCTGGTACAGGGCAGGGAATGAGACCAGAATGCATTGGGCCACATCATCTTATGACACAGTAAAAGGAAACCCTCCAGGTAAGTTCACATTGCTTTTGAGTGATCTATTCCTTCAAGCTATGCGATTTACTATCATCAAGCTCTTAGCTCCAAGTTGTTCCACCTGTGTTCTGCAGCTGGTACTGAGAAACCAGGAACCGGGTCTTTGGTGCCGTAGTACTTTTTGATTACACCGATCCCGGCCACGGTGTCTGTTCCTTTGAAGTTTACCAAGTGTGCAGATGCGCCGATACCAGCCGTCTGAAACGGAAACATAAGTAAAACGCACAGCTAGTGCAGAAACTAAAGCATCAAGAGAAAATTACAGGGTGGAGGATGTGTACCGTATGTATAAAATGCTTGGTATTTACAATTTGAATGGTATGAATATAAGTAAGGAGACTAGTGCTGGGCGGTATACCGGTTCATACCGAATACCGGTGTTTATTTTTGTTATGATATGAATTTTTAAAATACCGCAATACCGGTGTATGTCGCTTAAACAACATTCGGAACGCGACACTGTTTGAGTGGGGTCCCTTTTCACTGTTGCACTGTGGTGAGGGAACAGCTGTATGTGTTACTAAGCGTGAAAGTTCCGAAACTGAAGCTGTAGAACTAATAGAACGTGATGACACAGAAGAACTCATCCACAATATCCACATTGACCGCCACAAATATCCACCACCCCCTGCCATCAGCTCCTGCATCTCACACACACGAGCGCGACTTTAGCACTAGATTTAGCGACTTTCAGACCCTTTTAGCGGATTTTTTCCATAGAATATTCATACTGACAAACCTAGCAACTTTTTTGGATAAACCTTAGCTATGGTTCAGTTGGAAGATTTCGCCAGTGCTGTCCACTCTCAATCAGTAGAAAATATGGTTAACACCCGGTCATGCATGAAAAAAAAAAATTCACCGTAAAACCGGTCTAATTTTGAAAAATACCGTGCTATACATTTTTGGTCATACCGCCCAGAACTAAAGGAGACACTTCTGACTTGGGTAGAGCCTCATCTTAGACATTCCAAGCATGTACTTAAATCAGATTTGTTGGGTTTGGTTAACAGTAAACAGTTTCTCTGAGCTTTTAGCACTGGTGTAGCAACACATAAATGTCACCTCTTGCGATGAAACCCCTCTGTAGCCGAAGTCATGCAGTTTATATTCCAGTCCTTCCAGGCTTCCTGACGTTTCCATGAGGTATTTGGCCAGAATCTTCTTCTGTTCTCTTGAGTTTGTCGCGACGGTGATGGGATACCAGGTCTGAACCAGGATAGTCTGTTGAGAAGACAAATTTCCATCATTGTATCAGTTTCCTCAGCTATTAACATATGCGCTGTTTTGCTAGCATTTTGCACAATGAGTCAACACTTCCTGTGAGTTTTCCACCTAATGGACCTTATCCTGTATCGTCACATCTGAAAGTGGCAAATTTCTTGGAACTCAAAAACAAAAGTGTAGTCAGCTGGAACCTGAATCCAAAAGCAGCCTAAAGCTTGATGTGACCCGAGTGCTTGGGAATGTGTCACAGAGTCAACACAGCGACTGCACAGAGGGTTTGCTGGACTCAAACAAGGGGATGCCAGGCAGAAATGCTTTGTTGAAGACCAAGCCGGTCAAGTCAATATTATACTGCACACATACCCTGATAAGATCTGGCGCTCTTTGGGCACAAGAACATCCCAGTGTCCCAATCACATGGACTCGATTCAACTCATCTGACCTGAGACTCTTGGACAGTGATTTTTAATGCAATCACTGTTTTGGAGTTCGCAGTTTTGTCACTTTTGGATGATTTTTTTTGCAATGGCTGAATCAGCTACAAAATCTCCACTATTCTCATTTCATAGTGATAATATACATTTCTCATTGTAGTCTCTGAACAATCAACCCATTTTACTTAAATAAAGTGATGTATTTCTAAGTGAAACAGGATATTCAGTGAGAAAAATGTTGGATGGGATTTGATTTTGTCCATTAGGAACTGATTGGATCATGAAAAGTGGGCATTAAGGCCCTAATTTCTTAAAACAGTGCCTACATAGCTATTTGGGTACCAGATAGCATTAGTCAGTAGCTCATATAACCTAATAAAATTATGTCAATCAAAAATAAAGTCATTTCAAATAAAAAAAAAATGCACTGATGAAACCTAATAAGATGATAACATTAATTAATTTAATTAGTAATAATAACAATAATGATAACTATTATTACTTTATTATAATAAATAGTAATATTACATTAATAATAATAAATATTATATAAACTAAATTTATTTTAGAAATTACAGTAAAATTGCATATATTTACATATATAAATTACAATAAATTATTTAATTACATATTATTATTAAATAATGAGTATTTCATAACAAATTAGTAATAAAAATAATAACTATTATTAATTAATTATAATAAATAGTAATAATTATTACATTAATAATAATAAATATTTATTATATATAAATAATTTTATTTTAGAAAATTACATATAATTTACATATTTAGATTACAATAAATGATTTAAATTACATAACATATTTATGGCCGTGCTAATTTCTTTGCTTTCAAATGTTAAACCATGGAGCTTTTTTTTTTTGGTGGAAAACCAAAGGGAGTCCTTAAAGTTTCACTTTTGTTGGGAACAGATTTATAAACGATTCTCATTACAAATCTGGAAAAATGCTAGGCACGCTGAATTTTCAAATGCACATTATAAATGACCCAAATCACAGCAGCACATCAGAATATATACTCATATAATTAAAACAGCCTTTTTGATTTGATAATTGTTGGTAACCGTTTTTACTCAAATTTGGCACTCGAAATTTGGCATGAATTAAGAAGCTAGACTGACTTAAAAATTGACTTGAGATGATTCATCTGCAAGCTAGTGCGAATTTATCTGACTGATGGCTGCAAAGTGATCCAAACAGCTTTCTCACATTGATCTGTGGGTTTCCTGCATCTCCAGCGAGTAAACGTTATACTTACTGTCATCAAATCTGGGTCATGGATCAACGCAGCCCAAAATTTGTCTTTGTGCTCAGATGTGCATCCTACCGTTAGAGATTATCTTCAAACTGCCAGGGTCACTTGTGTGAGTGCTGGGTCACATGCCTGTAAAGCCAAGCTATAAAGCAATGTGCCAGCATGTGACTATCACAAATACGAGATTCTCTCCACCCTCACAACAAAAACGATGAAGGTTCAAGAGAAATACAAAATATTTTAATTCTCAGTAAAATGTCGTCTTGTGAGTTTAAAAAAAGTCTCCAAACAGTTCAGTTATTGATAAGCATCAATGCCTTCCCGTGGCCATCATTAAGGAAGTAGACACATGTTTGCAATCACTGGAGAATAGATATGTGCAGACAGTGTGTACTGAGAGCCAAGGGCATACACACACACACACTATACCAGCTAAGCATGACAACCTATTTGCCAAACATTCAAAGGCCTCGGAGTCATCTGTAAAAGCACTCAAATAAAGCTGATAAGACTATACAAATATGCAGAGAGTAAAAGAAAAACTAGCGATTGTTCCCTCGACTGTATAGGTGGGGCTGGATGTCAGACTGTCAGCATGATTCAGCAGGTTTGACACTAAATACTAATGAGGGAGTCGTGTGGCATGACGTCACTTTTTGCACGTTCTGTCACAGTAGGTTTGACAGAAACGGTCCGATACGTCATATGGAAAGGTTGGAAAACACTGTAGTCATTCATTACAGAGAAAAATGTAAACTACAAGCCCAATTATATACAATTCCTCTGAATTATGAACCAAATGAGGATTGTGCTGCCAAAACGGGCACCCTACTGTTTACTCCACTAGTGATTCATGAAATATGTGTGTTCTTTGGCTAATATACAGGTCCAAAGGAATTTAGACTATCATGACTGAATAATTCCTCTTTGGATCTGCATGTCATATTTTGGATTCATATTTTGGATCTATGCAAATCAAATCAGTAAATTAGCCAAAGATTGTTAGTTTATAAGTGTATATTCTATATAAAAATAGGGCTGTGTGATTTGGGGGAAAATATCAAATTGCGATTTTTTTGACAGATATTGCAATTGCGATTTGATTTGCGATTTTAAATTTGCAAAGTCAAGCTTCAGCTCAATATTGTCAATAATGTGCAGCACAGTATGGGTATCATTACCCTGCTGAAAAAAACAATAGATTCGATTCGATTTCGATTAATCGCACAGCCCTATATAAAAACACAACAAAATAGTTAAAATGGTAATGCAATTTACATTTAGTCATTTAGCAGACGCTTTTATCCAAAGCGACTTACAAATGAGGACAAATAGAAGCAATCAAAACCAACAAAATGGCAATAATATGTAAGTGCTGTGACAGGTCTCGGTTAGTCTAACGCAGTACACGTAGCAAGGTTTTGTTTTTAGTTTTTTAAATAATAAATAAAAAGAAAACAAGTAGATAGAATAGAAGAAGAATAGGGAATTTCAAATAATTCGGGAATAATAATTTCCATAGATTTCAAATAAATGTATTTCTTTAAATATTCCTGTTGGCTCATAAATCATAAAACAGACCATCAGTAAAATATTATTACAATATATTAAATATAATAATTAGTTTTATAAATTTGTTTGACTAGACATGATTTTTGATCATTAAAATTGAATTAAACCCCTCTAACTGAATCCAGAAATATGAATGAAATTCAATATTTAAATAGAATTCATACAGAAAACACATAATTTGTGTTTAAAAAATAAAAGAGATCTCAAAGTGCCTTATTATTGTAGAAATGTTAAAAATACTTATTCAATTATTATTATTATTATTATTGAATTCATTAGACTAGACATGATTCTTGATTTTTAAAATTTAATTAAACCCTTAAATCATACTTTTGCTGGACAACAATGCCATGTAGTGTAAAACATGACTTATTTTTGAATAATTTTTAATCTTTCCTAGACTCTCACAAGTCATTCTTACAATTTAAGACACATTTTCATCCATGTTATCCATCTATAGATAGATAATGATACCTTGATGTTTTCTAAATCAGTAGAACTCAACAACAATGTTCAATACATCACAAAAATCTGAATGTTCAGGCTTGCAAGCTATAAATTCACATGTACCTTATCAATGAAAATAAAATGTAGAGACAGTTCTGGAGCAGTACAGATCAGTCAAATGGACCTAAACTCCTTTATACTGGCACTGATCAATCCTAGTAGAGAATGGAAATTAACGCCATGTATATGTGTTCCTTTGAGAATTAAACACATACTGACAAAACATAAACCTAGAATGTAGAGTGAGTCACTTTAGATAAGTGTTAAATGAATGTAAATATACTGTAGGGATCAGTTTAGGGTCATGCCTCACCTCTACCCAGTTAGTGAGCCAGTAGCACTCCGGATCTGTGCTTTCTACAGTGAACAGCACATTCCCACGTGGAATAACGCTTCCCTCCGGCACAGCCTTGATCTCGATGGGCAGGTGACCGTTGTATTTCTGCAGTGATGTAACATAAGAGACGTGACTGAACATCCCTGATGGAATAAAACATTCGGCACAGACAGAAATGTCATAGAAGTGAGCTTCAAAGTACCTCCAAAATGTAATTCCATCCTTTTTCATTGAACACGTCATCCTGAAAGTGTTCCCGGTACACCTCTTTTGCTTCCTGAATCTTCTCTCGTGTGACGACCTGTCCTGTGAGCGCAAAAAGAGACGAGACAACTGTGAGACGAGAGTAACACATACCTCAAGGAAGTGGCTGAACAATGCAGGAATAAAAAGACCCTGCAGAAGAGGGTGGGTGGTGTGTATCCCTGTGTGTGTGTGTGTGTGTGTGTGTGTGTGTAATTGCCCATTTTCCTACATCCTTGCTTTATTGCATTAAGGGACTCTTCCATGCGCACAGTGCAGCTTTGTCACACCAGTACATTACAAAGATGCAACAAACTGTCTTAAAGGCACAGTATCCTCAAAAATAAAACTGCAGCTCTACTTGTCTTTTTTTTCCATTTTAATGTATTCATTTAGCAGATACTGACTTACAGATGGGTACTAGATTTACAGTACCTAAGGAAAGCAGTGCTTGCAAGGTTCAAGGTTAAAGTTTAAGGTTTTGTGTTTACAGTATGAGGCAGTATTCGATTAATATTGGTATATCTGGTTCTTACTAGTCATGCATCTCACCGAATGAGCATCTGCCTTTATACTGAAAAGAAAATGCAAAGAGCCGTAAGAAATTCACAGCAGTATCAACTGCATCTAAGACTAAGAAACCAACTTTTTTTTATTCTGTTTGCACTTATACTTATACTTTAAAACCTTTATTTGTGATATATATACATATAAATTTTATATAAACTTCACAGATGCATCATAGATGTGTACTGCTTGTTTTTAACTTTTTTCAAATTTTTTTTTGCGTGCAAAAAGGGTTATAGTTAACTTAAACAAAACGAGCTGAAACAAAAATTGTAACATTTTGCATTTTTAATAATGAGAAATTTTATTTAGTTTAACTTGAAGTACTAATAACTAAAATTAAAACTACTAAAACTACTAAAAATGACAAAAATCAAACAACAAAATTACTAAAACATTAACTAAAATTAAAATTAAAACATAAAATATAAAAACTGATTCAAAATATGAATAAAAACTGTAATAGTATCTGAATTATACTAACATAACAATGGTATAAAATTTATTGAAATGTCTGTAATTTAAGTGATGACATCATTGCTGCTTGAATCTTAAAATTCAAAGCATAAGGTTTACAAAAAGCTGTAAAACTAATTCTGAGAGTTTGAAATTTAGGAAAAAGTAGTCAAATTCAAGCATAAACAACTGGAGACAACAACAGAAACAGAAGTAGTGCAACTTTGGTATTTATTAGTCTACCAAAAATGCATGAATCTGTGACCAGGGCTGCGTCGGGCAGCTGTCTTTTGTGGGTGAAAGAGCAGATGTTCAATTGTCTTGATTCATCCTATCACACGATTTCTAAAGCCTTCACCCTATCGCACCATGAAATCCTTTTCAATGTAAAAATAGACTAAATTCCTTTATAAATGTGGCACATTTGAGTGGCATGTGAGAATGACAACCTCAAACCAGACTGCTAGTCACACGTCTTAAACTCAAACCGCTATTTTCTTAGCCAATAACTCTACCATCAAGTTCGGTCATTTAACACTGGCTCCATCACGAGAAAGTCATTTTTTTTCCTGTTGGAACAAACAATGTTATTATTTTTCAGGCTGCTTAAGAGAGAACTGACTGTCTGATTAAGTTTGGAGGGCAGGCTGCATTCTTGTGCGTGAACACAACCCAAAATTACCAGCAAGGCTCCGTTTTCCATTTGCAACTCAAATCAGTGCTGACAGCCGCATCCAACGTACCTTTTAAATATCTGTGGAGAATGTACTGAAGCCCATAGAAGACCGTTTTGTCATATTTGACTTTTCTGAGCTTGGTAGGTTCTGTCTTCTTCTCACGGCACTCAAAGTAAGAGTACACCTTGCTGGTGTTGGGTGGGTACTGTTTGTAATGTGTGACCTGCAAGAAAGAAATGACAACATGTTACATACGATTCATAAACAGAAAGATCCACACAACAACAACAAAAAAACAAAACATCCTCTGGCACGGCTGTGATAACATTGCAAATATGGTAATGGATGTCAACAAGCCTAGGCGCGTCTTTGTCCACAGTTTCCTGTAATTCAGACAGTTATTGGGTCTGATCTAGTTGATCTGCCAACAATTCAAAACAACCAGCAACATATTACACACATTATTAGGCAATAGGCAGACATCACTATTATTGTTCATACTGACCTTAAGTACTAAAAAGCATTTTCACATAGTTTGTAAAAAATTTTATGTAAAAAAAAAAATTCTCTTAACGCAGTTTATTGTTTGTTTACTTCTATATGCTATTCACTGGTTTATACCAAAAGTGTAAACATTCAGCCTCCCTGGAACCATCGAAATATTTATAGTGGCCCTGCTCAAATCTGTCAATCATTCCAGCTCAACCAATAGCGAGAGTTTGGGGTGTGGCTACTGTAGCAGGCTGAGCCAGAGGGTGTTTAGCCGACTGACGTGTTAAAGGGAGTTCACCCAAAAATGAAAATTCTGTCATTAATTACTCACCCTCATGTTGTTCCAAACCAGCAAGTCCTTCATAGAGTTTGGGGTGTGGCTACTGTAGCAGGCTGAGCCAGAGGGTGTTTAGCCGACTGACGTGTTAAAGGGAGTTCACCCAAAAATGAAAATTCTGTCATTAATTACTCACCCTCATGTTGTTCCAATCCCCTAAGACTTTCACATTCATCCTCGGAACACAATTGAAGATACTTTAAATGAAATCAGAGGTTTCTGTTCCTCCACAGACAGCCTAAGTAAGCACACATGCGTCGTGGACCTGAGAAGAAGCTCTCGTGAACGCGAGTTGGAGATTGAAACAGAAGTGAAGACAATTTTGAATATAGTCGTTATTTTGGGGGGGTTAACACACAAAAAGCATTCCCATCACTTCAGATAATTAAAGTTGAACCACTGGAGTAACATGGACTACTTCTGTGATGTTTTCACTACCTTTCTGGGCCTTCGAAGTTAAAGTTGCTTAGGCTGTCAATGGAGGGACAGAAGCCTCTCGGATTTTATTTTAAATATCTTCAATTGTGTTCCGAGGATGAACGAAAGCCTTAGGGGATTGGAACAACATGAGGATGAGTAATTAATGAAAGAATGTTTTGGGGGGTGAACTATCCCTTTAAGGCCAAAGAATATTTCACTTTTATGCATACACAAGGGTCCATGTACAATGTGCATGAGACAAATTTCGAAATTTTTATCGGTCATAACTTCTGGAGAAAAATAGAGCAGACACTGGAAAAAAAGAGGAAGCTTTCTACAGCGCAAGTGTCGACTGCCTGTGTTTGCGCACGCTATCAAATGGGGTATACTTTGAAAGGCTGTGCATTCAACTGTATGCATACGCTAGCGTACACGTTAAAAACTGAAATATATTTAAGTATACTAGACTTGGCAAAATACACAGAGACAGAAAACGGGGTAAAACAAGGGTAAACATTGGCGGTGCTTTTACAAGATGGAGGACTGTTGGAATGTTTGGGTTTCAATCGAGACGCCAAACTTGTGGAGTTTCTTCTCGACAGGTAAGGTAAACTCTATTTCTTGCCATGCATGTTAGCTCTTTACTGTCAAGCCCTAGATAAAATAGTAAGATACTGTAAAGATAAGAATAATCATAAAACTGTTAGAAGTGTTTGCAAAGATTGTTTGTTTTACTTTTGTAATTCCTCTAGCTGACACTAGTACCACAGAAACTGCATACTTCACCTTTAAAAGTTAAAAGCAACAGAAAAAAGACTCACACTATTTGTAGTCAAACACTTATGAACTTTTGAATATGGAGTGCACTCAAATTACAATGTGCAATAAAAGGTTGTAGTTATTTAGACTACTTATTTGTTGAATGTCTGTTAGCAACGTCCTTGCAACAACCAACAGGATTCTAATAATCATGATCAACTTTTTTTCATGATCAAACTTTTTTTATACAAAGAGTAAAAAAATTACGTTTGCCCTCTTGCTCTTCAAAGAGTTGTGATATAAATACATCCTATGTTGACAACAAGACTACAGTTACACTAGATATCAAACAGACAACCTACTAAGCTCCCTTATGATACTTTGTGCATGCTGACCTTTCCCTGGCACTTTTTGGCTGGTCTCTTGTGTACGGGCCAGCCTGGGAAAGGTTACAACCTCATGGTTATGCCTGACAGCTACTGTGGTTGCTCCCTGCACTCCGAGAACAAATTTCAGGCAGCTTTTCCCCCTCTACCTCAATCAAAGGGCAGAAGTCCTTGTGGCGCAGCAGTCGAGGAGGTCCCGCTAGGGTCTGGAGGCCTGCTCCCTTCTGGAACAGAGCGTTCATGTGAACAGCTGCATGCGGTCCAGGCATGCGCAACAACTGGCTGTGTGCATGAGGGACACGAAAATGCCACAGAGTAGGCTTCAGATCAAGGCAAACGGCCACGGCTGTATAAGAAGCTATTTTAAGGTGTGGCAAACTGAAAGTGAAACATTGTAAACAGGTTATAAAACTGAGCAATCAGTTGCTTTGAGATGCTTTGACCTGATCTTATGTTCCCAAGCAGACCAATTAGCTAGTCAGTTATGGCTAAAATCTCATGGACAACACAAGCATGCCATTGTGATGTTGACAATTGAGGATAAAGGGGGAAAGATGCAACACCAGATGTAATTGTTAATACAAATCCAGCGAATGCCCTTTCTGATGCTAAAGTTAATGTGCGTATCGATTGCTCAATCAACATTACACATGCAGCAGAGCGTGCACATGCATTCAAGGACCTTTCCTATTCATCTTCTCCACAGGGATTTCAAACGATTCCCCAATAAAGCCATGAACCATCGAGCTTTAAAAGGAATCACATTAGAGCTTTGATGTGAAGGGAAACTATTTGAGGAAGTACAAAACACATTTATGAGCAAATAAGCTACTCAAGAATTAGTCAAATCAAAACTACGATTAAATATAAAATTGCAACTATACAAATAGCAAACGGTGTGAAATTTCAATTTAGTTTTTGTTTTCACTAAACGGCTGTTAGATATTTTTCTACTTTCAGCAAAGTAACTGAAAAGTAACTTTAAGTAACTGTGTAAACTGAAAAAGTAACTGTAAACTGACATTATTTAAGTATGTTTTACTGCTCTCTAGTAACATTTTTTATGCTTAATTAATGCAAGGTAGAGTTAGGTCTGTCGCAATAATCAATATATCGACTTATCGCACAATATATGTACATGACCTCAATAATTTTTGGTGACGCAATATATCGCCCATTATATTTACTTAAAAAAATTAATGTCACCGTGTTTTGTACATTCCACTTGTGCCTGTGTCTTTTGCAGCTTCTCGTACATAACGTGGTGTAATCATGAGGTGCTAGTTCAAATTAAAAAAATGCTTCTACAAAAAAAAGTTTCATCTGCAGATATGACCTTGTTTAGGGATCTGTGTCTTTGTATTCAAGTTTTTTAAGGTATCTAATATTTTGATATTAATTTCTATGATCTAGCCTAAATATTCTTAAAAATTAAAAGTCTGATGTCATTTGAAGTGTGTAGGCCTTCTTACATTATGTTGTTACATTATGATTATATATTCAGTGGCATAAAATGGTCTTTAAAATGACAATAATATCGCTTATCACAATTATTTCTGGGGCAATATATCGCACAGCAAAAAGTTGTTATCGTGACAGGCCTAGGTAGAGTATAATCTGAAACCTTTATAATTCTTTGCCTCAAAAACTATTCAACAGTTATTTTTATATTTATAGAAAAGAGGAACGTTTTGGAGTCCATTTCAACTTTGCTCATTTCGTTTTTTCAAATGATCAGATTCTTTTATGCTTCAGTACACATAAGAGCTCAATTGTTACTCAGAAACTGATAGTACATTTTTACAAATAAACGGCAAGCAACACATTGAATTAAAATTGAAATTTTGAAGTAGAAAAACAGAAATAGAATTTTTTTTCTCCAAGTATGTTTATTTTATTTACAGCGTAGTTTGAAAGTGTCACCTATTCATTATGTCATTTGCAAAGCTTCATGGGAGTGGATGGTTGCTGTTGAACTCTGAACACTTATTCTTCAGGTTTCTAGAGAACTATATATGATTGCTGAACAATCTTATGCTCTCTATTACGCAGTACAGTATGTTTCTCTGACCATTAGATCTTAACCACACCCCTTTCTCATTCCTGGTGTCACTTTTACTTCCTTCTCACCACCTCTTGTTCTAAGTGCCACTTGCTTCTACAGTTAAACCCTGTTTCTATCAGAGCCATAACCTTGAATGGATAGTAAACGTCGACCGTTAAATGTCAAGAGTAGCATCACAAGGTCAAAAGCAGAGCTCATGGACTGACTCCTGAAACAAGTGTCAGAAAATCAGCAAACACAGAAAATAGATTGTAGTGTTGACTGAGTAAATAAGGAACAACCAGCTATTTTTCACACGTGATCTCTGACCCTCCAATGACCTCTGCAGGATCCTTAAGTAATGAAGCATCCCTTAAAAGGCTAAATGGATGTGTCATCAGCCTCAATGCAAAACACGAGAATCCTATTACATCCGTGGTGGGAGGATAAAAGACAAAGGCATCCACTCCCGTCCTCTAGCAGCACTAACGAAAGAAAACACTGATTAAACAGAGATGAGACCATATCCACAATATAACAGACACAACAGCAGTCAATGACACCTCTCTGGATCCAAGGACTGAGAGCACTGGGTTGAGGTGAAAAGTCGAAGACCTGAGCAGCAGCTTCAGGATGGCAAAGTAAAACTGGCATACAACTGAAATTTTAAGATTAATAAAGATACAAAGGTTATGACATACTTGCTTTTATCGTTTCTTAAAGCGAATGATAAACACTTTGGTTGCCTCATATGTTGGAAGGACTCGACAGCAGTTTTTGCTCATGATACAGCAAACTACAAGTTTTGTGTGTGTGTGTGTGTGTGTGTGTATAGTTGTTAAGCAGATGTGTTATATGTACAAAAGTCAGCAGATTTTCCTCCTCTCTGACACAATGAGGGACATTCCTACTTCCATCGCAAACTACAAAGTGCTAGTCATTTCGTTAATCTGAATTTAACCTTTCATTTCTGTTTTAGACAGCTGCACTATATAATTATTAGTTTTTAAATTTCAATTTAGTTTTGTAGTGTCACTAAATGACTATTTTTCTACTTTCAGTTTAATGTTTTATACATATACATATATATATATAATTTATTTTTTTACAGTATATTTAGTTTCTATTTCAGTTTTAGCATTTTAGGGCTTCCAAAGTTAATGTGTAAACTAATATTATTTAACACCAAGTACAGCATTACACCAAGGCAGCTTACTGAAGGGGATATATATATATATATATATATATATACATCTATATTTACAATACAGTGCATCAAAAACTATTCTAAGGTCATTTTTGTATTTTAGATATTTATAAAAAAACAGGTTAGTTTTGGAGTCATAAAAATCTATTATAGCCTAATTTCGGTTTAAACAATTATTAATTTTGGTTTATAATAACAGTAATCGACTACATATGAGGGCTTATGTATGCACTACACACAGTACATACTATATGTCATATTCTTTACATTAGAATGTCCAGACTATATGCATATAAATAATATTTCATTTAACACATTTCATTGTCTTACACTACAATGACACTAAATCTGTTGCATTTTGAAAACGGATTAATTCAGCAATATCTGAAATGGAGTCAAACCGGTGACTATTACTAATAGGTTAGGTCTAGTACGTTAGTAGGTTAGCTGCACAGCCATCAGTCTAGTTGTGCAGTACATTCATTTCCTGAGAAAGCAAGTGCTTTCAGTTTTGCTTTTGAAGAGAAATCCACCCTCAGGACCCGCGCCTCCCGCCCTTTAGGTGTAATTCACACTCTTATCTGCTCGTAATCCGTTATTACCGACATAAACACACAGATTCTACTCAGAGGAATAGAGATGAAGATGTACCTGTCGTTTCTCCTCACACACACTCGGCCTACCGACCTGACTGACAGCGATTCAACCGTTAACGGCCTGAAGGATGAAACCACCTTCATTCCTCGTTCTCTTTCCCTCATTTTCCTTTCACTCACAGGTTCACCGGTATACAACAGCACACCGGGCCGGGCGGTGGGTCTCTGCTCACCTTGTAGGAGTCAGTAGCTAACAAGATGTTGAAGTCCACTGCGCTTGTGTGCTGCTCCATCTTCCCCTTGACGCGCTGCTGCTGCCTGTCAGTTGCTCGCTCTCCGCCGCGCGGACTCTCAACCAACCCCCGTCGCTGAGGAGGGAGGATGACGGATTCACAGTGGGCGGGACCGAGTGGGGTGGACTGGCCAATCAGTGGATAACGTGACTTAGACGTCATTGCAGGGGGCGAGGCAGAGTGCTTTCGGGAAAGTCAAACGATGAAACAGAAAGTTCTAAGAGAGAAATGTAATAAATTAGAAAGTCCTTAATGTTATGTTTTGCTTTACTATTTTTTAAAGAATATATATTGGATATTTATTTCATTTTTTTTTTAGTTTTGTTTTCTTATTTAACCCCTTTATTTCGCATTTTATTTACAACGGGTGCCATATAAATTCTTCCTGTAATGCAAGTTATGAGAATATTTTGAAAAGACATTTATTTGACATGTTTTGAACCCCTCAGTCCCCCCTCAAGCGCGGGGCCCGGTGTGGACGCACCAGTTGCACCCCACTAAGGACGGCCCTGTATATATCCTCCTGGGACCCAGGCATAGACTTCTCTGTAGAGGACATTATATTTTAGTGAATTTCTCTAAAACCATAATGACAAAAATGATCAAATTTAGTACTCTTAGGGGAAATATGATAATGTTTTGCAATTATCGTTTAAATCTGGCTAATTTTCTAATTGTTTGTCGTAAATAAACATCTCAGAAAAACGTTATGGGGTTTCAAATGGGAATATGACTTTTTGTTGCGAAACAGGGCATAACTTTCATACATGTCCTCTGTAGAGGACACCAGGACAAACGGCATGTTAATCAGGCATTTTGGGGAAACACAACAAGTCAATAGAAAGAAATTATAGATCAATATTCCGATGAAATATGAGATATTCTAATGAAAATGTTGCCCATTATTACTCCCGTTATTACACTTATTTTTTCATTATGGTTTGTCCCAAGAACACATTAATATGCAAATGAGATGCAATATATAAATACATTTTATAGAATGGGAATACCAATTTATGGACATTTTACGCACATATTCCATAAAGTACAGTAGTATATCAAATCATTCTGTTACATCTTTCATAACATACAGTGGTGTGAAAAAGTGTTGGCCCCCTTCCTGATTTCTTATTTTTTTGCATGTTTGTCACACCTCCATTTGTTTCTTATGCTCCAACCAATGTCATGACTGCTGCTGACCCTATGCAATTTCATTTTAAGTTGTGTTTTAGTTACTTTAATGCAGGGGTGCCCAAACTCGGTCCTGGAGGGCCGGTGTCCTGCAGAGTTTAGCTCCAACTTGCCTCAACACACCTGCCTTCAAGTTTCTAGTATGCCTAGTAAGAGCTTGATTAGCTGGTTCAGGTGCGTTTAATTGGGGTTGGAGCTAAACTCTTCAGGACAGGGGCCCTCCAGGACCGAGTTTGGGCACCCCTGCTTTAATGTATGCCTTTAATGGGAAGGTCTGACCAATCTCTGGTTGAGCTGACAATGAAGTCAAGACAGGGCCCACCGCCTCAAACTCAGCCAATCGCAGGGCTGTTGTAGCCGCTCTCTGATTGGCTGTGGGAAAGGCTATGTAAGTGACGGCTGTTCTACAGATCAGTGACTGCAGTTACATATAACGAACAGAGGAGGAGCCAGAGGGGCCATTAAGCTTTCTAATCTAGGAAAATACCCATTGACCTTAGTAATAAAGTAGCAGTCTGCTGATTTTGTTGGTTAGTTGATTCTGCCATGCGGTGCAATAGCAAGGAAATGCATATGATATGAAGTGTCATGCAATGCTTATATGGCTAAATAGTTGCCCAGCCAACTTTTACAGATGATCAGAGGCTTTAAAGCAGCCGCAATAAACTCCAGGGGAAAAGCGACTGGATTTAGCTACCTTTATTTAAATTAAACAAATAAATAAATAATATTAGTATATATTAATATAATATTAATCTGAATTAATATTAATCTAATTCATATTAATATATTATATTATAATATAATAAATATATTCGGCCAAAGACAACACCACAATTGCTGACACTATACCATAATCTGCAATACTTGGCATTACTATCATCGAAATAATATGAGGATAACCTAACCTAACCCTAACCCGTATGTGTAGATGAGATGTCAAAATAATAAATCTAAATTATAAATGTGAGCCTCTAACACACCACCAGAGGATACCATTGCACAAGTAATATAGTGAAATATTGACACTGGGCAAATGAAATGTATAAATGGACTTAATTAGATCTTAAGTATTTGCTTGCATCAGTTTTTGTGCTGTTGATATGTAAACAACTAAATTAAAACAAAAATCTCCCTTATAAAATTAACAATATCCTTTAGCAATTTGTCTAATAAGAAATAAATTATAAAATTAAAAATAGACAGATAATGTTGAGGGGTTGTTAATGCAAATCCAATCCAAATATTGCGTCAATGCATAATATAAATGAATAATATAAGGTCAGGGCAAAGCATATAAACAGTGCTTCAATACTTGAGTGAATGATCTGGAAAATACCTAATCTAAAATTCATAAAAAAAACTTTGCATTTTAAATCCGTATCATTATAATATCCAAAATCCGTATTATCTATGCAAAACATATTTGCATTAAAAAAAGACCTGGTATTCTTCAGTGTAGAGAGTGCCTCGATGTGTCAGACCAATGGGAGCAGCAGCTGAACCCGTGTGCGTGTGATCAGATGGTGAGAGGAGAGGAAACGCGCTTCTGTGACGGATCGCGTTTATTTTGGAGTAATAACTGCTGAAATAAGAGCGTTTTTACTTTCATGTGGTCTGTACTGAATTTCTCTGCATCCATGCATAAGGCTTCACCCGACCGCCTTCAGGGTCTTTGGCTCTGCGTTTGTTGAACGGTGAGTTTTACTATCTTTCCGCTCTTTTACGGCAACCTTCCGGCAAAACCGTTACTTCTGATCTGTCAGTGTTATAATTAGTTTGTCTTATTAATTTGTGTAACAGTGACGTTGCATCACATATAAATTACTTGTGTTTTCACTCTAAATATCACACTTTTCAGAGTGTTATTATTTTAAGAAACTTCCGCATTTGCTGTGTGTTTCTACAACATGGAAATGTTTCTTTCAGTTTCCGCTTGCAAACTGGTCAGTGTAGGAAACACATTGATTGCAGTGACATTGGTTTTGCGTTGTTTGCGGACTTTTCTGCTTTTTTTAAAAGATTGTTGTTGTTGTTTGAAGGGCTAAGCACATTTGTGCTTCCTGGTTTGGTGACTTCCTTTGCATACAGTGAACGTTAACGCATATTAGATAGTGTGTTAGATAATGTAACCCTGTAACACAAGTAGAATATATCTGGAAATGTCTCAATAAATAAAAAGCGATATTTGGTTTGCGCATTCCTCTAGAAGCACATGTACACCTGCTATACAGTTATTTTAAAAGCTGGTGTTCATGGAGTCCCATGCAATTATGGGACCTTAAAAAGACCTGAAGATACTTCACACACACACACACACACACACACACATATATAATCACTCATTCATTGCCAAATATTAAGGATGGGGTGGGGTTAATAGTTCGAATAAAAATAGTTCATTGTCAAAATATTGTGATGGTGATCTATGGTGGCTTTTCGTATATGTGCATGAAAAAAGCAGCCCTAGTCCTTTGTGTAAAAAAAAAAAACTTTCTTTTTCTAATTTAGCATTGGTTATGGAACACCAAGCCAGTGATGATGAACCACCAGTAGTTCGTAGAGAGGAAAATAAGAGGAGAAGAAGAAAGATGAAAGCATTTACTTCTACCTCAGCTGTATTGACGGATCAAATAGCTGTAGAGTTTGTACTTCCCACCACCAACAAAAACAGCAAGAACCCAGACACTTTGCACTTGGATGTTACTGGCAATTGGACAATAGAGCAGGTGAAGGTTCAGATCTGGCACAGAGCGGTAACCACTAAGTTGTGCCCTGAATTTTACCAAAAATACTCTCCGGACCATTGCATGCTGCTCTACCAGAAGAAAGGCAACTGGAATGAGATCTACGACAAGCAGCAGGTATTCCAAACCCTTGACTGTATCAGATATTGGAAAGCATTGAGAAAAGAGGTTGGGAAGATTCACCTGGTTGTTAGACAGCAGCCTACTGAGGATTCGCTTCAATACCAGCGGTTTCTGAACCACCTGATTGGATATGATGTTACAGATGTCAGCAATGTCCATGACGATGAACTGGAGTTCACACGAAGAAAGCTACTGACCCCTCGGAAAATTGAGCTGTCTGATCGAGATCCCAAACTTTACTCAATGGATCCCTGGATAACCACAAAGCCTCTCCCTGAATACCTGCTGAGCAAAATAAGTAACAATCACATCCTGGTAGTGATACACAAGGACACAACAAGCCAGACTATTAAGGTGTCTATAGATGACACACCTGTCCAGGTTCTTCAGAGCTTCTTCACCAAGATCACTAAAAAGCGAGCAATTTTAGGCATATCAGAAGACGTCAGCGAATCCGATTTTGTCTTGAGGGTTTGTGGAAGAGAGGAATACCTATATGGCAACTATGCCATCAAAGATTTCCACTGGATCAGACAGTGTCTTAAAAATGGTGAAGAGATCCATCTGGTTTTAGAGCGTCCTCCAGACCCAGAACAAGACGTGGTCCAAAAAGAGGAATGGTCTCAGGTCGATGACTGCACCGGTGTCGCTGGTACTCATGAACAACTGACCATCACTGAGAAAGACCACGAGAAGGTGTTTACCATCTCCCTTTGGGACTGCAATCGTAAATTCAGGGTGAAGATCTTGGGGATTGACATACCAGTGCTGCCACGCAATTCCGAGTTGATCGTGTTTGTCGAGGCCAGTATTTTCCACGGACAACAGCTGCTGGCCCAAGAAAGGACAACTTCCAAACCCTTCACAGAGGAGGTGCTCTGGAACACCTGGTTGGAGTTCAACATAAAGATCAAGGACTTACCCAAAGGTGCCCGACTTAGCCTGCAGGTGTCGTGTGGAAAAGCGCAGACTCAAACGTCCAAGGAAAACGAATGCAAAAACAAGAGCCGCTTGCTATACTATGTCAACCTGCTCA